CACTGATCTGTGAACATCTGTGTTCAGGTGATTTGCTGCCGGCCGATGGTATCCTGATCCAAGGCAACGATCTGAAGATAGACGAGAGCTCCCTCACAGGAGAGTCTGACCACGTACGCAAATCTGTGGAGAAGGACCCCATGCTGCTCTCAGGTTTGTTTCCAAATTTTCTGACTTTTGCGTTCCACCACCCTGATACTGCTTGGAGAGCATAATTTAAAGTCATGTCAAAGTCAGTTTTATTTCTAAGACTCAATAGACTTCAGAGGCCTCAGAGGGCTTTATAATATGCACAGCATCCTTTGCACCTGAATCAAACAGGGAAGAAAAGATGGTGGTAGGCTTCTCTTGGCATTTGTGTACAATCACTTTTTTCCTAAAATGTTCTTCATCATATATAGAACAATAGACCACCATGTAGACATTTTCTGACTACATCCCGGGGTCGCTAAGTTTCTGTGGACAAAATAAAAGAACAATTAAATGCAACTGAATTTAAATTTATTTTAGAGTTTTTTTTTTTTTAAATGAAACATGTTGGATAAAATGAGATTGATGAATTATCACAATTTTAAGCTTAAATTTGGTAAATTTCCAATGATTAGTTCGAGGACTGTTGGAAATCTGACTGTCTTATTTAAAAAAGATTCTGGATCTGATAAATGATGTAATTTTGGTGATTTTTTAAAGCGATACCATGACTTTTAGAGTTTAGAGGGTTAAACCCAAAAGTCCCGTACTGTAATCAGTTTTTATTGTCAGTAATCATTTTTGTTGTAATATTGCATTTTAGTTTCCTTCAGCTCATTGTTTCTACAAGATTATCATAATTTTCAATTAAAAAATTCTGGTACAGCACAGAAGTTTTAAACTTCCTGGTAAAGAAAGTGGAAAATCTGGAAATTTTGTCTTTTCTTTGGCGGAGACCAAACGTACATATTGGAGGAGAGTGAATATTTTAACCTAAATCGGTGAGGTGGCCAAACCCAAGAGTGGATCTAGAGTTTTCTTCATGTTATTCTGATGCCAGCAGCTGCAATTTAAAGTGTGCATCAGGATACCAAGACATTACGTTATTTATTATTTATAACCGTTTGGCAGCGTTCCAAAAAGGAAAAAACTACTCACAATATTGCATTTTTGAATATTTATGGGTCACCAAGCCAAATCTCCACAGCTTTTTGCCTTCAGGTCTCAAGTAAGTCAAATTCTCACAGCAAGACAAGTCCTGAATTTTGTGACTCCCAATCCAACCCGAGTCCAAGCTTCACAATTCAATTCTACGACCAACTGGCAAGAACAGCTCAGAGCATCTGTCATATGTGGTGTTTTAAGAACGTTACAAATATTTGCAGAATTCTCGTAACCATTTGAGAGAATCTTCCTCTCGTCTCCTAATCCGGATCCTTGTGTTTGGATGTTCAGGTACCCACGTGATGGAGGGCTCGGGTCGGATGCTGGTGACAGCTGTAGGTGTCAACTCACAGACAGGAATCATCTTCACCCTGCTGGGAGCTGGAGAGGTGGAGGAAGATGGCAAAGAGAAGAAGGGTAAGCGGAGAAACACTGAATTTATATCCACTGTGTTTTGGCCTGGGATGAGAGAAAGATTAATTTTGCCTTCTTAGTTGTTTGATCTGCTTACATATGAAGATGAACAAACTGAATATTTAGTGTTACATATATACGATGGCTGTGTTCCTGATATGTGCAAACCAGTAGAGGAAGTCAGCAGATGCTGAAGGAAAACTCTATCATACATCTCTACCTTCTCCATGGATGAATCCTTCAACCTGCCCTGAACCATTTAGTATGTTCACACACTCCTGGATGGATTAAGAAACAGGCCTTCTGGCCAGAGGTCCAGCGACCCAAAGGGACGGGATAGCAGGACCAGAGTCCTTTGTTTGAAATGACTGTTAGTATTTCTTATTTGACAGAGAGACGCAACACAACTATGAAAAGACAGAAAGAGACCACAAAAAGACAGTAAATGACCACAAACAGACACATGTCCACAAGGTGATAAAACAATCACATAGAAGAACCACAGAGAGACAATAAACAACCACAAAATGATCAGGAAACAACCCCAAAGAGACAATAAATAACCACAAAGAGACACAAAATGATTACAAAGCCATGGAGAGCAAGTACAAAGACAGACAACAGAGAGAGACAAAACAACTGCACAGTTATTATAGAGAGATTCAGAACCTCCATGGAAACAACTAAAATGAGATATAGATTACTACAAACAGACACACAACAACCACGAAAGACAAAATGACTTCATGCAGGCACAAAATGTCACACACAAGGAGTCACAAAATGACATAAAGAGAAGACAAGAGACATAAAACGACCATGAAGTAACACAAAATAAACACAAAACTGCCATGGAAAGGCACTAAATGGCCATAAAGAGATACAAAATTAACCACAAACTAAACACAAAGGTGTACAAAATGACTACATGCAGACACAAAATAACTACAGAGACATGAAATGTCCACAAAGACACACAAAACGACCACAAAGAGACACAAAACGTCTACAAACAGATGCAAAATGGCTACAGAGACACAAAACGACCACAAAAAACCCACAACTTGTCCATAAAGAGTCACAAAATGTGATCAAGAACCGCAACTGATGCAAAACAACCACAATGAGACATTAAATTACCCTCGAAAAACTGGAGAAATTAGAGAGAGATGAAAAACAACATTGGTCTCAAAAACAGATACAACTGATGCAACGCAACTGCAAAGAATGAGTCCAGAGAGATGCAAAAACATTATAAAGACCTGCAAGACAATCACAAATCGAGTCAAAATGACTTGAAAGAGACACAAAATTTGATAATTGATGTAAAACAGCCAAAAAGGGACATCACATGATCACAAAATGAGCTCAAAGAGACACAAAATGACCCCAGAGACGGACCACTAAGAGATGAAAAACAAAATTGGATAAAACTGATGCAACACAACTGCAAAAAATGAACCCAGAGAAATGCAAAAACATCATAAAAACCTGCAAGACAACCACAAATCGAGTCAAAATGACTTGAAGGAAACACAAAATGACCACAAGAGAAACAAAATGTGATAATTGATGTAAAACGACCACAAAGAGACATCAGAAAATCACAAAATGTCCTCAAAGAGACACAAAATGACTACAGAGACGAAAAACGAAATCAGACGCAACTGATGCAACACAACCGCAAAAGTATGACCTCAGCGGGACGCAAAAAGGAACGCAAGATGACCACAGATCGAGGCAAAGCCACCGCGAAGACACACAAAAAAAGATAAGAGCACAGTCTGGGAACTACGAATGACGCAGCCGCCGTTGTTTGGTGTCACTCCGGGGGTCTTTGGCTTCTCGCGGAGGGCGGGGTGGTGGTGGTGGCTGCTACATGTCTGTGCCCAGGGGCCCCTTGTTTCATAATCCGTCTCTGCTCACACTCTGCAGCATGTGTGTGTCTGTGTGTGTGTGTGTGTGTGTGTGTGTGTGTGGCAGTCAAACTGATTTCAGATAAGAGCTTCAGCAGGAAACGCACCAGTTTAAGCTCATAGATAATTCAGCCCACACCCTCTCCATCCTCCTCTATTCCCTCACGTTCTCATGCCCCCTTTTCCCCTCTAACTCCGTCACCTGGGCTCCTGTTTACGCCACTGTTTGTGCCCTCCTTCCCCTCTGCTGCCGCTGCTGCTGCTCTCTCCACCGTTTCCCCCCCTTTTCCCTTCCCTTAATATGAGAGAGAGAGAGAGATGGAGGCTGCAGATTGAATCAATTATTGAAAGAGCAGAGGGAGAGCGAGGCAGCCGGAGAGATTCAGGGAGGAGTGTTGGTTGGTCAACACACGGAGCATTAGTCTGCGCTTTAAATTTGTTTTGGAGGCGCCCTGCAGTCAGAGCAGAGCTGCAGACAACAAGGAGCTGCACATACTTTCCGAAGCACTTAAGGTTAATATCATTACCCCTTGCACTCATCTGCCGCCGCAGTTCTCACTCCTGCATGGGAATGCGAGCGGGATTGTTGTCAAAAAAAGAAGAAAACACCATCCTGGGAACAGATTATCTTATTTTGTGAAAGAAATGCTGCTTGTTGTCCTCGTGCGCTTGCACTCAGAGCCTCTGTGGGTCGGATCATTCAGACAGTCATTTACTGGAGCTGATACATTATTCATGAGACTTCTACAAAATGCCATAACTTGTTAGTTTTTTCCTCATGCAGTGTGGGTTTGCTACGGGGCTGTTTTTCTCTTTTATCTGTCTCTCATTTCGAGGTTGTGTTCACTTTTTTTTTTTTTTTTCTCCTCTCAGCAAAGACATTCTGCTAATAGAAGTCGCGCGTACAATTATTCTTCTTTTGTTTTCCCCCCTTTTTTTGCCAAATCTCCTCATGTGCCCCCTCCAAAACCTTCCTTCCTTCACACATTCCCCCAAACAGAGGACAGTACTCAGTTGCTCATCTCCGCAGATGCCAGTTACAGCACAGTCACCAATGGTATGTGAGCATAACGTTGTCGACCCTACTCTTTTCCTCCGCCCATGAATGGACCCCACAGTGTACACGGTGCAGTGAACGTGACCTATATTAGACTCATGCATTTCAAAATGTCTCTCAGTCTCCCGACCCAGTGTATAAACGTGTGCACCTTTATAACTCTTCCCTTTAGTATCGTTTTTGTGTGATTTTTCTGTTTCTGGAAGTGTGTGGCTGTCCCCAAGACCAGAAATATGAACTGTTTAAGCAGTAAACATGCAATTCTTTTTAATAAATCCTTATAGTCTGGCTCTGTCTAACTCGCGCTACCTTTCTCTTAGGAAAACAACCTGACGGAGCAGTGGAGAACAATCAGAACAAAGGTAAAGTCTTAAGATGTTTGTTGAGCTTGGTTTGGATGTGTGATGTGTTTCCTTTATCTTCAGGGCTTCTGTAGTCTCGTCAGAATTCTGACAAATCTTGAAAATGATTTCTTCAAAATAAAAATTAGATTTCGTCTCGTCTTGCTTTTTTGTAGCACTAAGATGCTGTACCTTTGTGTCATTAAGTGTGTAATGTAATGTTATTTATGTGTATTTTGCACTTCATTTGTTTCACAGTTGAAGTAATAAAGTAGATGAACTAAACATTAGGCTGCCTGTCAACCCTCTGAACCCCAGCAGCTTTAAAAGACATGGTATCATTTTTAAAAATCGCTAAAATTACACCATTAATTAGAGCTACAAACTCTAAAAAACAGGAAACAGGTTTGGTTTTTTTATCTTTCGGATTGTCCTTAAACTAGCCATCTTTGACATGTTATTCTACTGCAAAAATTTACTAATTTAGGCTTAAAATCATGATTTTTTTTTTTTTTAAATGCCTTTGTTCTATGCATCTCATTTAAAGTACAAGCAAAAATGAGCCATTTCCTATAAACAGATTCTGTAAAAAACTAAAAATTCTATGCTTATTAATACAACCACAAAGTCATCAGTGACTCAGCTGCGACCAACAGCAACATGACAAAAATTCATCGACTATTGGGCTGAACTGCAGGCCGTGTTTACCCGAGTAGACAGAAGACAACACAGAAAAAATCCAACTAGTAAAATATTCATAGTATGTAGAGCCACCATTTTCTCAAGTATTGATAACAACTGTAAGAACATGGGAAATTTTCTTTTCTCTGCTTCTAGCCATGGTTGTTCTGTTTCCATAGAGGCGCAGGACTTTAAAATGCAGGAAAAATGAGCCCGTAGTGAGTAAAAATATGACGGGAGCAAAAAAATAATAATAATCAGGAACTGTTTGGACTTCAGAGGACTAAGCTTTTCAGTGCAGTAGAATTTAAAAAGATATTTTGTCACCATAAAATAATCCTCTAAACAGCTGTCAATTTCATTTAATTTTTAAATACCACATTTTTATTATTATTAATAATAATTTATTACTGTATAATAACTATAGTGGCACAATCACCGGTGATGAAAGCTGGTCCATCCACAATAAACTCTTTATTTTGTTAACTGTTGATTTAAAATGATGATTTAAAATATGTTTGTGAGTGATGTATATTTGTCTGTTTTTATTTACGTGCTGTGGGTGAGATTAGAGATCTGACTGTTTAAACAAAGTGAAAGTAGAGCAGAAGAAGCAGAATAGGAAAACACTTAAAGCTATTCTGTAGCTACTAGAGTACAGGTGATCTGGATTTTGTAATCTCTGTAAAGTTTGTTGGAAACACTGGCACGAACATAAAATGGATTACCTGATCCTGGGCAGCAAACCAAAGGGTTTCCAAACCACGATCACTCTGATCCACATTAAACTGTTAGAACAACGGGGCTCAGGTGCAGTGCTGAAGAGAGTGTAAATATTTTTTGTGTTTTTTTTTTTTTTTTGTGTGTGTGTGTGTGTTTGTGTTTTTCAGCCAAGAAGACGGACGGGGGTGTTGCCATGGAAATGCAACCCCTGAAGAGTGCGGAGGGAGGCGAGGTGGAGGACAGAGAGAAGAAGAAGACCAATGTTCCGAAGAAAGAAAAGAGCGTCCTGCAGGGCAAACTCACCAAACTGGCTGTTCAGATCGGCAAAGCAGGTACACAACTGTCTCCCCTTTGACCAGGCAGGTTTTTATGCTCCGTTAGCAGGAAGCTGCTCCTACACTCAGAACTAACGCAGAGCTTTTGTTGCAAACACGCACAGCTTTCTGAATCTGAGCTCTCCCTGAATACGAGGAATAAATTACAGGAGTCGTGTGAAACTTGGCACATCAGGTGCGAAGAGTCTGTTTTTTTTTTCTTCTTTTTTCTTTTTTGCCACTCAAAAACAAACGATGGCGGCGTTCTCGAGTACTATAAACTGTGATGGAAAGAGATCACACAGGTGAAGCAGTGAAGTGAGCGATGATGCACTCTGTAGATTTTCATGCATTGCTTCAAAGCCGCAATAAAACACAATTCAGAACAGGCTTGTCTGAGAGACTCTGATGAATTGTCTCTGTTCTCTCACAGGTTTGGTGATGTCGGCCATCACCGTCATCATTCTGGTGCTGTACTTTGTCATCAACACATTTGTCGTTGAAGGTCTGTACGGCTTCCCATCGTATCTCTATTTTACTCCTGCCAGTCGTAGATTTAATATTTAGCACTCTGCTGACAGAAACTTTCAAGTTGCACTTTATTTTAGCTTTTATGGTTTGTCTTCCAGGTCGCACATGGATGACAGAGTGCACTCCGGTCTACATCCAGTACTTTGTCAAGTTCTTCATCATCGGAGTCACTGTGCTGGTGGTGGCCGTCCCAGAGGGTTTACCGCTCGCTGTCACCATCTCTCTGGCCTATTCTGTCAAGGTACGCACACCAAAACTCTTCAATGAACGATAAGACATGTAGGAGCTGTCGGTTCTTTAGCTGTTGTCACACCTGGGTGTCTTTTAAGGTCAAAATAAAATGAAAGGAATAGTTTGACATCATTCTGTGTGCTTCAATAGTAGGTTTAAAAGCCAAATAGTTTATCAGAAAGTTTTTAAAAATCTGTTTTCACTGTTGTATTTTGTGTAGATAAAGTAAATACACTTGTTAAATTTGGTTGCTTATACACATTGCTGTTTGTAGTGTTTATGCAAAGCTAAGCTAACCGTATTTTTGCTTGGGCTCTATGCTGAATATACAAACATTTGAAAGAGGTGAAGCTATTCCGTTAATCCTCAAGTTTGCTTGATTACTAATCTTACAAAAGATATTGAACATAAACCAGCATTACTATCAATGTTATAAGAGCCCAGATATTTTTTTTCATATAATGCATTTGCTAGATTTGTACAAAAATGTATATTCAAGCGTTTTAATTTCATTCTGCTTGTCTGCTTATAAAACCAAACATAAACCCTTGATTTCAATATTTGTTCCACACAGTCTGAAAACTAGTTTAGAAATGTAGGTAGTTAAATATCTATAGCATGCAGTTACCTTTTCCTTCAGTGTTGGTTAACACCTGTGGCCACTAATGAATAATCAAAAAAAAATTTTTTTCATGATTTATGGCAATATTACTGTGTTCCACTGCACAGAAGGCATTTGAGTTCTCTCTTCTTCTAGCCATAGTTGTGCTGTTTCCATAGAATTGCAGGACTTCATATTGCAGTTAAAAAGTAAAAAGGGTCTGCAGTAAGGAAAAAAGTGAAAGAAGCAAAAAAAAAAGCCCAGAAAATGCTGGTAGTTCAAAGAATTAAAACATGAAGAAAGGAAAAGCATTAACATGAAAACTAAAGTTAACAACATAGATATAAACAGGAACAGGAGGACAAGATGGTTCACGATAAGTACTTAATGTTCAGTCAAAGGCAGTGCTGAACATAAAAGTTTCAACCTGGTTGTCAAAGTGGAAGCAAACCTAACATCTTCTGGAAGTTTGGTCCACTGAGAGCACAGTGAGATTTCTTTCAACTCTTGTCTTTGATGCAATTGAAGCCAGCACAGAGACTTGAGAACTGCTGTGAAGTGTTCATTTTTCTTTATCTTTGCCAGAACTCCAGAAGAAGCAGAGTATTTGGTGAGAAACTTGAGAAAAAGATCATTACAGTGATCTAAAAAACTAGAAATTAAAGCTCTCAAATCATCTGATTCTTGCTATGTGAGATGGTGGGATGCAGAGTTTGTAACTGGCTGTTAAATTTCAAGTCCAAGTTTTCAGAGATAATTTCAGTTGTGTTTACATTTAGACCTAAAAATTTCAGGCACATCCAATCATTTATTTGTTTAGTGCCCTTGCTGAGAGAGTCTGTGGGAGTGTAGTTGCTTTGTGACAGAGCAAATTAAATCTGGATGTTGTCAGCAAAATTCTGACAGTTGATGATATTATTTAGCATAACGTGACCTCGTGGAAACAATAGAGGATCAAGGATTGAGCCCTGGGGAACTCCACATATTACTATGGCCCACACACAGGCACAATTACGAGTTGAAACAAAAGAGTTCCTCCTGTGAAGATTGAATTTTAACCACATTAGCACTGAGTCTGTGAGTCCAAGTCAAGCTTCCAGTGTGCCCAGTAATTCTGAGCACTCAGCTGTGTCTTCTAATACGACTAGAACTGAAATTTTGCCGAGGTCAGCTCTGTAAGTGAGTGGTTAAAGTTTGCTTCTAGTTTTAACAAAGTCTCTAGAAATGTTCACGTATAAATCCACTTTGCAAATTGTACAAGTCTTCAACTAAAATAGAAATTAAGGAAATATACTGCTTTATATCACTGGATTATACAATATGTCCTGTTTGTAATTTAGCTGGTGCACCATGTTATCCAGTTGATCTTTGCAGACGTTATGAGCCCTGAAATGTTTCCTACAGTGCTGTTGGTTTTAGCTAATTTGCAGAATTGGTGTTTGGTACAGAATTTGATTATTTTTTGGCAAATCTTTAAATGAGACACGTATTATCAAGTGATTTTGATGAAATATCACGATTCGGGGCTTAGATTTGGTTAAATTTCAATTGGAAAGACACAGCACAGATGAGTAGTTCAATGACTGTTGGATGATTCTTTGTTTTTGCAGTTTCTGGCTGATAAATGGTGGAATTTGAGCAATAACGTGCCTTTCAGACTTGTCTGCAGGTTTTGGTTTTCAGAGTGTTAAACGTGCAGCGCAGAAATGTGTTTTTTAGGCTGTAATCCTTTCTTGGAACAACAAGTTAAATTTTTCTTTGGAGCATCAAATTTTTTTTCTTGGATGCTTCCTAGGTTTTTCTGGCCCCATTATCCTGCCAGTTGCTGCCCGGCTCTGGCAAACCAGTCATTCCTTGTTGATGTAAAATACATGCCAGCATGTGATTGCCGTCACAGGCCTTTGATATAAAAATCCGGCATACTGTGAAGTACAGAGATTTACCTGACACTGATAGGCTTAATATGCATTGTGACTCATTTGACTTCAATGCACCAGACGTTCATTTATATGTAAATGTCATTCATGCTAGCTTTAAGTGAAAATAAGCATCATACCTGCCCCTGAATTTTTACTCCCTCTTTCATTTCCTCTGACAATCCATTTTTCTCTGTCCTTCTACACTTCCGCTATCCATCATTTATCCCACCCCCACACATCCCTCTGCTCTCCATCACTACCTCATATGTAGAAAATGATGAAAGACAACAACCTTGTGCGGCATCTGGATGCTTGCGAGACCATGGGCAACGCCACGGCCATCTGCTCCGACAAGACCGGCACCCTCACCACCAACCGCATGACTGTAGTACAGACTTACGTCGGTGAGTGAAAAGTGAAAAATGTCTTTAACCAACATTCTGCTGCCTGCGATCCACCATAATGAAAACACAATGGCCTTGGAAGAGTCATAAGGTGAATCAATATACATTTAACCCTTAGGTTGTCCTCTAATTATATGACAGTGATCCATTTGTGATCAATTTTGTATAAATTTTATCGTTTTTAGAGAAACTAAATGCTTTTTCTGTTCTTGGGTTACAGCTGACACTGCTTTCAGCTGAGCACATGTGTGTCTGTTACATGACTATGGCCAGAAATAGAGGCCAGTATGACTCATGGAGTTACAGTCTGAGGAGGCTTCTTAGTGAGCAGTGTGGTCCTACAGTTTCTGTTATGGTGAAGAAGGCTCCTTCGAGAGGGATGCTTTTTATCTCTAGTTAACTTTTTGTCTTTGGAAAGTCGGATTTAGTTTTCTTAAATGGTGTGTAAAGGTAACGATAGGTTAAACTTATCAAAGCATTACCAGCTGTGTCTGTGTAGCCAATGGACAACAGTTCTGGGTTCACTGTCGTACGATATCTAACTGTCATTCTTGTATTTCTCTTTGAGAGAAGTACTGGACAGATTTTGTCTTTCTCTGTATTGCATCAGAGAATAAATTTAACAACTACCCAGCAAGGTGTTCGATTTATTTTTTAGCATCTTAAGAGTCATGGCAGTTTTCCCACAAACCTGCTACTTCAAGTCTGTTCTTTTTTTTTCTCTCTTCAAAAGAACTGACTTAGGCCTGGCCAATTCCACACAGTTCCCAACATGGATGCTTTGGCACTATAACACTGGATATAAGTAAAAGTCTAATAATAATTTAGCAGTATAGGTACAAGTAATGAGGGCCACATGCATCTCACACGCTTAACAATGCCTCAAAGAACCGTTTTTTTTTCTTTTTTCTGTTCATGCTACCACTCAGTAGCATTACACTGACTGTCATTGTTTTGCAGATGACAAACAGTTTTACATGTTTTATCTTAATAAACAGTGTTAGTTGTAGCAGTTGTTAGTTCATGCTGGGTCATTCCATCTGAGATCATCCGGGGTCTCCTGCTCAACCATCTCTGATTTAAATGGAACTTTTTAATCATAATCTATGGATATTCTAAATGGTATCTGTGAAATTTTAGATTGGTATATAAAATATCTTAGACAGCAATTTTTTTCACACACTGAAATTTGAGGCTAAGTTTGAATGACAATATCACAGGAACTGATAAAGATAAAAATCAGAAATTCCACTGGTATTTCCCACCATGTCATCGTTTTAATTTGCATTATTGGACACATAGATCAAATAATTTATTATTGAATACAGGTAGGTTAAAAATGAAAAACAAATGGTAATGCATAAGTCAACTAGTGATATTTTCTAGAGTTATATGCCACAACAATACATTTCATTTTTTTGAACCCACTTTGTAGGCTGGAGACTCAGGGTGAACTTTAGTCTGTTGTACTTATTGAATTCACATACTTATTGGAAAAGATGAAGGTGAGCCCTTCAGCAGTTACTATACATATCTGTGAAGGCCAAGTTTATTCTCAACGGAACACAAAGCAAGAGAGTCCACTTAGATCCTACTGAACAGGTTCCACAATGATCATGAGAATAGATTTAACACTAAAGTCCTCCACATAGGTACGTCAGATTACCAATATGCATATATGTATATATATATATGTGTGTCAAGGCATGAAAGCTTTGTCATGTTTCGTATTATTGTGACATATGGTTCAGAAAATTTAACTAGATGACTTCTGCATCATCAATTTTTTTGGTAATGTGTGCTAAAAGATGGGACTTCTAATGACAGTGAGATTTAAAGAAAAAAAGGTTATATGTCTTTTCATACAGTGTATTTAAAACGTCTGGTTTCAACTCACTCATAGTCAGACACTGTTTGATCTGTTTGTCCGGTGTTGCAGATTCTGAACCAATGGCATAATGACAAATAACAGTGAAAATGTTTGACTTTTATCTTTAATATCTCTTGAGATATTGTCAGTCGAACAGCCTCAAATTTCTCGTTTGAAAAACACATGTTACAAGTAGGTCGACAGGCAATTAAAAAAATACAAAATTCAGGCAAATCAGAGATGGTAGAAATTGTTCAAAAAAAAATCTGCTGATTTGAGATAGAGTGACCCTGCGGTCTTTGCTAGTTGTAGACAGCTTCTGTTCATCCACACTGGATCAAAAACAGCCATCTGCTGCTTTTTCCACATTCATATTTTGTGTTTCCTGTTGTAAATTTGAAGGGAGTGCCCCAGCAATTTAGAGCTGCCCTCCCACAAAGTGGCAGACTTACAGGAATCACATTCATGAAACAGAGGCTGAGATACTGACTTTTAGTTGCTGCTATGAGCTCTAGGGTCCTAACGTGATGGATTCTTTTCCCATAATGCAACTCAATAGCGTCTGATTAAATGTTCTGTCCCTGGTAAGTGCCCATGTCTTTAAAACGCAATGCCCCAGTTTGTGACAATTACTTTGTCGCCACCTGATGTCATCATCAGGGTTATTTTCTCAGGCCTGATAAAACTCCTCCAGAGCCGCGGAATACATTTTACAAGTGTTTTCACAGGCTCAATAGCACTCTCAATGACGAAAAAGTGTCCCTTTGAAATGCTGCAAGTAATGTACTGCATAACTCTCAAAACCTTTTCGTTGGCCTAGAGACCGTGATAGCCCAAAAACTCATCATTGAAACCAATAGAAATACACTTCACTTTGATGGCAGAGTGGCCTTTTGTGTCTTGCTTTCTGTTTTCACGATCAAGTCTGCAGCTGTGAGGGTAAATATTGCAGAAATGTGTGGAGATGTAGTGATTTTATCAGTCTAATGGGATACTCGTATTATCAGATTTTTTTTGCTGAGCTACAGGAGCACATGGAAAACAATTTTAGGCTCAGTGTACTGAGAATATTATGCATTAAAGTTAGAGTGTTGTTTCCAGGTGATGTGCACCACCGTGTGATCCCAGACCCTGGACAGCTCAACCCCCGGACACTGGATCTGTTAGTCAACGCTATTGCCATCAACAGCGCCTACACCTCCAAGATCTTAGTGAGTCATTCACAACCTGAGATGCCATCCTCAGGTTTTATAAATTTTGCCAACACTTGAGCAATTCTCAGTTGTCAATGTTTAAATGAATAATGTCTACATCTCCTGTGTTTGGCCTGATACCATGATTTTAATATTTGTTTCTTTATGCCTCTGCCGTCTCTCCTTCCTCTGCAATCAAACTTATCAGCCGCCTGATGTGGAGGGGGGTCTGGCTAAGCAGGTGGGCAACAAGACAGAGTGTGGCCTGCTGGGATTTGTATTAGACCTCCAGCAGGACTACAGTCCTGTCAGAGAGCAGATACCCGAGGAGAGACTGTACAAGGTAAGGAGTCATGCACTTCCTTAATTCTCAGCAGTTACAGTTCATTTATCGTGCTTTAAAGGTCATCTGGAATGATCTACCAAGGTTTATTTGAACTTATCTTACTGATAGCATAAATTATAGACTATCAGTGGTGTCTTTTTTTATTTGTATGATATTGTTTGCCTCATCACACCGACACCAACAAAGCTCTGTATATTTTGGTGATACGCTTTACTATACAGGCATATTCGATACCACCGCTGAAGCTCAAATGGGAGCTTGGCACACTTGCGGCACCTTGAACAGTAGGTCAGAGTTTTGATGATGCAGCAGGTCTGACTCTGAGTTGTATAATACACCAGCATCACACTCCCTGAGATATGTTTCAGCAACTGCCCATGAGGCACCACGGATAGCAGCAGCATTACAGCCCAGCATTTATAGAGAAACAAAGCATTTTACAAGGCCTGTGCCCTTAAGGAGAAAGAATCCAAAACAGAAAGAGAAAGAATGAGGAAAAAACTGTAATATTCTGGTGGTTGGGTTACCAAAAAACACTGTAAAATAAAAGAAATTAACCATCACATGAATATGCTGTAGTTTTTCATAATTAATATGCAGTTTCCAGCCTTAATTTTAGCTTATTGTTTTGTGTCCAAACATGTTTTTTTTTGTTTTGAAATAGAAATTTCCTGGTTATTCATAGTCACTGGTTTTAAATCCTATTTTACGTTGCACCTCTTTGCATGTATTTCAAAAATACAGAAAAAAAAATCTGTTACAAAGAAAAAGAAAAACAACAGGTAAGATTACAGATGTTCTTTAATGGTGTTAAACAGTAATGGCAATACATCCCTCTAGTAGGAGCTGAGATATTTCACTGGAAAAATGAAAATGCTGATCTGCTTTTGGTGCAAAGAAAAAAACAAGGAATCATCAAAGTCATTCAGCTTCATCCTCTTGCCACTTTGGAAACCTGGAACAATGCCCATAATACGTTCTTTCAGAAAAATCCATACGTGTTCTTCTGTTTATCTGGGGTTCGGTTGTGGTGGCAGCAGGCTATTAAAGACATCCCTCTCCCCAGCGATGTTTTCCATTTCCTCCTGGGTATCCCAAGGAGTTCCCAGGTCAGATGACATATGTAAACCCTCTCGTGAGTTCTGGGTCTCCTTCGAGTTGGATGTGCCTCTAAAGCTCCAAAGTAAGGCACCCAGGAGGCATCCTAATCAGATGCCTGGACCACCTCAGCAACTCTACTTCCCTACTATCTGTAAAGCTGAGGCGGGCCACCCTGCAGAAGAAAGTAATTTCAGCCGCTTGTATCTGCAGTCTCATTCTTTCAGTTACTACCCCAGAGCGCACGGCCACAGGTGAGGGTTGTAACATTGATGGGGCTGGTAAACGGAGAGCTTTGACTTCCCCTCTTCACCACGACGGATCACGTTTACACCCAAAGTCGCACAGAATTGTACAGGATTTTAAAATGCCCTTTTTGCGATTGAATGCAACAACATATGCACTACTACAATGACGTTACACAAACAAGTGGCCTGGTTCTTGCACATTTATAGCTGTGATTTATGGACTTACGTGATTTAAGCTACAGCTGCCTTTCAGATGATGAGATGATGAGAGTGTAGCTGATTTCCATTGCTTTACGACTACGGCGGCATTTCTTATACCGATACGGGTTGAAACCTTCAGGACACTCAGCATGAGGTTTTGAGTCGGGGATATGCAAGTCTAACTTACATCTCTTATACTTTCTCTCCCCCCCAGGTGTATACATTCAACTCAGTGCGTAAATCCATGAGTACAGTGATCAAGCTGCCCGACGGTTCCTTCCGCCTCTACAGCAAAGGAGCCTCTGAGATCATGCTGAAGAAGTGAGTGATGGGGAGGTGGTCTGCGATGACATTTGTGATTAAATAGAGGCAGAACTACACGAGATCGGGTTGAAAGTCTGAATATCACCGTCAAAAGATGCCCTTTTTCCTCTCTTCAGGTGTTCCTATGTCCTGGATGCCAATGGAGAACCGCGCAGTTTCCGCCCACGTGACCGAGATGAGATGGTCAAACAGGTGAGGCTTGTTAATGTCGTCAGTACATCACTCTGAAAGTCATTTTGGTGATTCATGTTGATGGTATAATAGTGTAATGTCATGATAACCTTCCCTGAGACAAGGACTTTTGGAACATAGCAGCCCTCGTCTCTCTTTTTCCCTTTAGTAAGGACACAGGGACGGGGTAATGGGAGTTGTTGTGAATGTAGAAGTCGACTACCTCATGTGTTTTAGTCTATGAATTTATACGGTGTCTGACCACAAACACTTGTCTTGTCTTGTTTGAGAGTCGTGCATTATGCGCTTCAAAGCTTGAAAAGCTGGCAGGTCATTTGAAAACATTCTCATAAGACAACGCTGTAGATGAAGTTATTACATCCTGAAACTGACATTTACCGACAGCGCTGGCACATATATCTGCTGTACTAATCAGTTCTGTCATGTTAGCTGCCTTCTGTAACAACGCCTGTGTAGATTCTCAGTCATCCAGGTAATGGTAATCCTACGAGCATCAGGAAGAAAGCAACTGGACTTCTCTTTTTGGTTCTTGAAGCTGTTAAAAGGCCTCCAAGCTTTTGTGAAATTGTTAATAGAATTTTGTTAAACTACCCCAATCTGACTGCTTTGCTGACTCATTCTGCTTGTGCTTTACCTCACATATAAATCAGCAAAAACATCTCTCTCACATTATAGATAAGCAGCCTCACTTGCAATCACACTAAACACCATTGGGATTAAGGAAAATGCGGCGTCAGCATTGGCAGACTCATATACATTCCCTATCTGTTGTACATAAAAAGGCTACATCAGCCTTGTTGTAACTAAAATATTTAGCAACACAACACGCGGATTTGTTTCACATGCAGTTTATCAGCCGACGCAGGCTGAGCATTGTTTCCTTGACTGACAGGCTGACTGACCTAAATTTGGCTCATGATGAACACAGCTTGTGCCGTGAGAAAAATAACTCCGCTCCTTGCACAACTTTATTCCGGCTCAGTTGTTCAGTTTGCATTGTGGCGGCTTTATGTCACCTCCTTTTTGTATCATATTGTCTTTCCCCTGCTGTCTGCACCGGACTGGGGGTCCTTTCCCTGCAGCTGCATCACAACTCATCATACATAAACTTCAAAGTGTGCATTAAATGTTAGGATGTAAATAGTGTTTTGTTAAAGGTAAGCTGATGTTTCTGATCATAGCTGTGATAATGACTGATTAATAGGTGATTGAGCCAATGGCATGTGAGGGGTTGAGGACCATCTGCATTGCGTACCGTGACCTGCCGTCCAATCCGGAGCCAGACTGGGAGAACGAGGCAGAAATAGTGACAGAGCTGACCTGTATCACTGTGGTTGGGATAGAGGACCCTGTGCGGCCTGAGGTAGGACACTGTGGAGGGTGTTTGAATCTCAGCTGGCAGTGTGAGTTCGTGCAGTCCATAATATGATATTTAACCTGTAACCTATAAATGTAATTGCCGTTGAGCTTTTGTGTGAACAAATGTCCTCGTCCCCCTAAGGTGCCTGAGGCCATCCGTAAGTGTCAGCGTGCAGGCATCACAGTGCGAATGGTGACTGGTGATAACATTAACACAGCCCGGGCCATCGCTGCTAAATGTGGCATCATCCACCCTGGAGACGACTTTATCTGTCTTGAAGGCAAAGACTTTAACCGACGAATCAGGAACGAGAAAGGAGAGGTAAGTTGGGGTCTCGGGTGAGTTAAGTGCAGCGTCGACTGACATAGCATTTTAGAAATGCCTCCTTGTTTATTTACAGGATCTTTTCTATTGTGGCGAAAAATAACAAAAAAGAAATGGCAACAAAATATCTACAGCAGGAGGAGCCTGGAGCATGTACAATAAGTGAAATGTTGAAAAGAAATGTGTTAAAGTATTAAAGTGACTCAGTATGAAAGTGAGCCAGTTGTTGCTAGAAGTCATACAGTCCAGTAGAGATCATCTGAGTGCAGTCAATGTGTCTCAAGTGATTGGATTATAAGGACATCTGCGTCTGGAAGGTCCGGTCACTGGTGAATCAGCACTCCTTCCTATAACTATAACTACCATGAAGACAAAAAAAAAATGCTCCAAGCAACTCCACAGTAATCAAAGGAATATCCAAGTCAATGAATATCTCTTGAAGTGTAGTTAAATCTAAGGAATAGGGCACATGCGTAAATCTGCCTCGAGCAGGCCGTCCTCAAAAACTGAGTGACTGTGCAATAAAGAGACCAGTGAGGGAGGCCAACAAGACACCTATGACTCCTCTGAAGGAGGTACAAGCTTCAGAAGCTGAGATGGTAGAGACTGTGCAAACAAACAACAATTCTTGCCTGTTTATTACCAGTCAAAGCTTTATGGTAAAGTGGCAAAGAGAAAGACACTGTTGAAAAAAGCTCATCATAAGTGTAGACTAGAGTGGGTCAGAAGTCAAAGTGGGAACTCTGAGGTCAACTGGAAAACGATTCTTTGGTCTCATGAGACCAGAATTGATCTTTTTGTGTGAGACTGTCAAACACTGCACATTATCAGAAACACACCATCCCCACCGTGAAGCATTGTGATGGCAGCATCATGATGTGAGGATTTGTCTGGGAAGCAGGTCCTGGTAGGCTTGTAAAGGGTAAAAGGTAAAATGAATGCAACCAAGTATAGTGAAATCCCGGAGGACAACCTGATGCAGTCTGCAGGTGAACTGACTTGAACTCAGAAGAAAAAGAAGCTCTGTCACTTAGATTTGTATTTTGACTTTGTCTCTAATCTTGAAGCTGTATTTTTGTGAAATATTTAATCACCCAAAAGGTTAGAAACCACTAGTTTTATAAGCTTATCTTATGTTTCCTTCTAAAATCTTAATCGTCTACAGTTGGACTGTAAATGTAAATGAAGTAAAATGCAAAAGAATTCTCGCTGAAATGTAGCTGAGCTTTAGTAATTTCTTCCAACTTTAAAAAATAAAATAAGTTTACGATCAGAAACAAAAGGTCTGGAGAAGTTCTTACAAAATGTTCCACGTTTACAGGTCTGTTCCCCTCAGATTCCTGTCTTGGCATCTGAATGTTCCCGTTGTAGGATCAGCACTGTTATGACAGTATCCACCGTTATTACTACATGCAGTTAAAGGCAGCATTTGTACAGGCGATGCTTTGATCTAACCCACAGAGCTTTGTCATTTGAATTTAACAGAATGCTTGGAATGGATAGCTGCTGTCGCTCTGCTTTTTGATGGAGTGTGAGTTTAGATTTACACACTAAATTGTCATTCTGTGGTTAAACTGAATGAAAGAGAATTGTACAAGAGCCAATTTCACAGTACATCTTTGATCCTTTTTCCTCCATTACACCTTTGTGCAGTGCTTAACACTCTGGATCAGCGGTGACATCTAGTGAATAGAGACACGACTTAATAGGTTCTCTTTTTGTGCTCTTCGTCACACGCTTCCCCCCTTCGTTTTTGTTTTTTTTTGTCCATCTGACAGATTGAACAGGAACGTATCGACAAAATCTGGCCCAAACTGCGCGTGCTGGCTCGATCCTCGCCAACCGACAAACACACACTGGTTAAAGGTGAGTTTCAAGGTTATAAACCAAAACTCACACACACACACATTCATTCATTCACACACACACTTACAGCCTGTTTTTTTTCTTCCCGTTTGTGTTCAGGCATCATCGACAGCAGCGTTATAGAACAGAGGCAGGTTGTCGCAGTAACAGGAGACGGAACTAATGATGGACCTGCTTTGAAAAAGGCTGATGTGGGCTTTGCCATGGTAACCTGACATATTATTCACCAATAATGTTTATGTGGTGCTTGGAGTTATGTTTGTTGTAGTGATCGCATAACATAATCACTATCTTATTTTGCTGTGTTTTCAACAAATATAATAAGTGTATTAATGATTTAACCCTCTGAACACACAACAGTTTCTGGGCATTTTTGCTCTTGTCACATTTTTACTCACTGTGGGATCATTTTTCACTGCAGAACTAAGTCCTGCACCTCTATGGAAACAACACAACCATGACGAGAAGTTGAGAAACTCAGAAGTGTCTTCTGTGCAATATGACAAAGTTATGATGCCAGAAATAATTAAAATGAAGACAAAAGTAATATTTCTTTCATTATTTATGTTATAAAGCTTAAGAAAACCTGGAATCAACATGTACAACATTTTCCAAGTGACCACAGGCGTTACCAATAGTGGAAAAACAATCGATTTCTTGCTTCTAACTTCTATCCATCTCTGCTGTGTGTCAACAATGCCTGCTGTTCAGCCCACTTCATCCAAAAATTACCTGAATTTTTCCCACATGACTGTTGGTCACAGTTGAGTCATGAATGATTTCACAGTTGTGCCGGACAGCAACACATTTTCTGGGTTTTGCAGAATCTGTTCAGAGAAAATAATTTAATTATAGAGATTGTGAAGACTTTGATGAAATGTCACGATTTTAAGCTTCTTCACAATTGGGGGAAAATGTTACCAGCTGAAGTGCCGTCGTCCCTACGATAATCCTGTTCAAGCAAGCCGTTGATTTTTGGCATTTTTTTCAAACAAGACATGTAGAATGAAGTGATTTTGAGGAAATATCACAATTCTAAGCTCAGATTTGGGTCATTTTCACAACATCACACATAATTAGTTCAAGGACCATTTTACAGTTTCTAATAAATGGTGTAATTTGCATGATTGAAAATAAAAAAATTAGGTGCTTTTCAAACCTCCTGGCGGGTTTTGGTGTTCAGAGGGTTAAAATGTGTTTGACTACATTTCAAAATATAAGTAAAAGTGAACCATGACTATAATGTAATTTATTTGTAATAAAACATGTGCTGGAAACAGCGTGCACTTGATTTTGACCACAGCTCTTACTCACGGCAAGTGGTGGTACTTGGAGGCAGAACAACACGATATTGAGACAGTAGCACTCCAGAGTGATTTGGATGCTTGAATGCGTGCATGAATCACGTCATGAGTCTCTGTCTCCTCTTCACTCTGTCTCAATCTCTGTCAGGGTATTGCAGGCACAGACGTGGCTAAAGAGGCGTCTGACATCATCCTGACCGATGACAACTTCAGCAGCATCGTCAAGGCGGTGATGTGGGGACGAAATGTCTACGATAGCATCTCCAAGTTCCTCCAGTTCCAGCTCACGGTCAACGTAGTGGCTGTCATTGTGGCCTTTACTGGGGCCTGCATCACTCAGGTAGACAGATTTATTAATACAGATACATGTTGACACACACACACACAGAGCAGACACACAAATGTCACTTCTGTACACATCACTCACCTCATATGCGCTAAGACGAAGCAAATGCTGAAATGCTTTTTGTGCATTTTTACACTAAGCTTATATAAGCAGAGATTTCCTGACACTTGCAAACATTTACATATGGTTGACATGCAGCTTGTATTATGTATGAGCTGCATGTGTTTATGCTTTTTGATAGACAGTATTTTTTGCAATGCATATATATATTTCTTGCAGGAGAGTTTGAACAGACACATATTTTAAATATATATACATTAGACCATCCTTGTTTTCTTCAATTTCTTGTTCATTTTAATGCCTAGTACCACTAAAGGTACATTTGATTGGACAAATATAATGACAACAACAAAAGTAGCTCATAAGAGTTTAATTTAAGAGCTGATATCTGGACATTTTCAATGGTTTTCTTCATAATAACTAAAATCACTTAAGTTCTTGCATCAATAGCTGTGGCACTGTACTGCCAAGAACAGTGCTTTTAGGCGTTGGTCTAATCATTTTTTCCATGACTCTATCTACCCCACCCTGTGTAGGATTCTTGTCCTGATCTAAATGGTGTTGTCATTCCAAATGTGAATTAAAAAACCAAAAAAAGGTAGAGCTGCAACGATAGTGGATTTGTTGTCAACTATTAAATTACTAATATACTGCCATTCATTGGTTTTACTCATCTTTTAAGAAGAAAGCCTCTTAAACTCCAGCTTTTATTACTGCAAAGATAATTTGTTTAAACTGAGCTCTGTTTACGTGGTAATTTAAACTGAAGGGCAAACCTGACATGAGCCATCCCTCATCAGACTTTCTGATCAACACATGTAGCATCCTCTTTAATCAGCTGAGAAACAATCTGGTGACAAAAACAGACATCTTTTTTCATGCTGACATTTTCAATTGTCAAAACAGGAAACTTTTTTTTTTTTCGGTCATGTTAATAGCAGCTGCATTACACTGAGGTTAGATCCTGGTTTCGTGCACGCCTTCCTGTTATGACGAGTCATAATATCTGCTCTGAAAAGCTGTGTTGAAGTGACGAATGGCACACTAAACAAAAATCTTTACAAACCTGAATAGCGACTTTGCCTTCCATAATTGATAATATTGTACTTGCATATGCAGAACATGTTTTATTTTTACTTCAGTACAGATTAGTTGATATGTCACTCTGCATTAGACAGATCTGTAACAGTCAAAAAGCAAACCCTGATGGAACAAAACCTTAACACTGAAATGCCTTTTTACATTTGAGTGAAGAATATTAACTCTCTGACATTTAATTTGAGTCAGAATTCGGAGTGCTCTTGAAAATTTATACTTTGGAACTAAAAAAACTAATGCTTGTGGCATTTACACTGCTTTCTGCTGAATAGTCCAAAGCCACAAAGAGCAGCTATCATGCACACTTGTTTTTAACTTACTGAGCAACATCTACTCAACTAAAACTACACAAAGTAGAGAAACTTGTGTTCTGTTATTTGTATAACCCGACTGCTAAATGAACAGAAATGCTGTAGCTGACTGATGCTACACGTTGTTGGAAAACAGCCTTTTCACCATCACCGGTGTCGAGGTCAGTGAGGCCAGACTCATCTGAGCGCGATTCGTGATGCAGAGCTGCGGTTGCAAATCTCTCTGCAGGACTCTCCTCTGAAGGCGGTGCAGATGCTGTGGGTGAATTTGATCATGGATACGTTCGCCTCTCTGGCACTGGCTACTGAGCCCCCCACCGAGGCCCTGTTGCTACGGAAACCTTACGGCCGGAACAACCCGCTCATCTCGCTGACCATGATGAAGAACATCCTGGGCCATGGAGTGTACCAGCTGGTCATCATCTTCACCCTGCTGTTCATAGGTGCACGCATGCACACACACACACACACACACACACACACACACACACACACACACACACACACACACACACACACACAAACATGCAAGAATGATTTAAACTAAGACTAAAAGGGGACTGGGAAAATGACCCCCGTTGGCTCAGCGGGCCACTGTTGGTCATTGTGTAACAACACCACTGTCCACTGTTAGACATGCAAGTGCGTGCACACATACACACAGATTTCTAGTTCTGTCTTCATGAGCGTTTTAACCACAACAGTCACAACTAAATGGGTTACTCTAACCATTTTTAACCTTCAAACAGACTATTGAAGTCTATGATGTAATTAGTAAGCATAAGGAACAGCCAAAATGTCAGTTTTTCTCAAATAATTTGACAGAAAAAAAGGTTTTTAGACTTTTAATTTTAATTGTAACTGCAGCTTTTCCAATAAGCAGATTATTTGACCTTTTTCTCTTCACTCATTGTCTCCTCTTCCTACTTTTTTAGGCGAGCGCATGTTTAACATCGACAGCGGTCGCAACGCTCCGCTCCACTCCCCTCCCTCCGAGCACTACACCATCATCTTCAACACCTTTGTGCTAATGCAGCTTTTCAACGAGATCAACGCTCGCAAGATCCACGGAGAGAGAAACGTCTTTGATGGCATATTTGCTAACCCTATCTTCTGCTCCATCGTTCTGGGAACCTTCGCTGTGCAGGTCAGCTTTAGCCCTTTAATGCACCCTAATAATTGGTTAGTAATACTGTAAGTTGTTGATGTTTAGCCTGATGGCTGGGGAATTTTGCTTTTATTTGATGGTGACAGTAGAGATCTGGACAGAAATGTAGGAGAGGAGAGAGAGATATGAAATGCAGCAAAGTAGTTCCATGACTGGAGGTAAACCAAGATAGTGCGGTCGGCTGTAGGTCATCCACTTGTGGTATCTTGTTGTAAATTAGCTGTACTTCACTCAAACTAGCTGAGCATCTGTAGCAGTGATAAAGTGTGTAACACCCAAGCTGTGCAATACATGTAAGCTGCGCACAGAGAAGATTTTATTCTCCATGAATGAATTGGATTGCGTTAGATTCCATTCATGTAGCTAATAGAGTGTCCAGGGAATGTCTGATCCAGGGTCACACGGCTGATTCTGATAAAAAATTATATTAATGATAGTAACACAGCGCTCCAGACTAACTTTTTCACTGGTAGCACTGGTGCGACCAACTTTCTCATTTGGTTCCAACTCCCACCTTGTCACAGGCAAAACATATGACTTGCTGAACAACTGCAGTTTACCGATGTTCCCTAAACGCCCCACATTGCAACTGCAGTAGATGCTGTTGGTATTGGTGGTGTGCTCACACAGGTGTGTGACCAAAAATTACTTTAAAAAGAGTAAACTAGGGCGTTCCAATGTCAGATTTGTCCAAAATGAAATCCACTGATTTTTATTTTTTTACATGTGCCCTTTTCTATGAGCAGAAAAAACAGCAAATGTAGGTGCGCTCCCCCTTTTTTTTTTTTTACAAGAAGGCCTCATTTTTGCAGCAACGCTAATAAGCTTAATGATCGTCATGCACTCGCACCAATGAGACCGCTTGAAATTTAACTCGCACACTCTCAAAAAAAAGGTTGCAAATGCGACCATTTTCGTAGCAGTCTGGAACCCTGTGACAAACTTCACTCTTGTCACTGGAGGGAGTGCAACCTCTGCCCATAGTCCAGAATGTAGGAAACTCACCAAAACATAACAAAAAATTTGGAAAAGAAATGCATTTGTACACTGTATCTTGTAGTTATGCCTTAGTGTCTTACTGTTTCCAGGATTCAGATTTTGCAATTATGGCACAATTTAATTCACAACTTAGAACCAAATAGCTAACTCAGCATGCTCAGCTTTCCAAAATTTGAACAAATATAGACAAACAAACTGGACTCAGACTTTAAATGGGACATTTTTCAAAATGCTTTGCATTTATATTGATACTGATGCTTGTATCTATCGCATAAAAAGTTATGTGAGACAAATCAGACAGCAGCATAATGCCTTTAAATCTCAAATACAAGTGATGATTCATCCATCCATTTTCTATACACCGCTTAATCCTCACGAGGGTCGCGGGGGTGTTGGAGCCTATCCCAGCCGACTTAGGGCGAAGGCAGTGGACACCCTGGACAGGTCGCCAGTCCATCGCAGGGCCACACTTAAAGATAGGCAACCAAGCACACTCACATTCACACCTACGGACAATTTAGAATCACCAATTAACCTCAACACGTTTTTGGACTGTGTGGGAGGAAGCCGGAGAACCCAGAGAGAACCCACGCTGCACGGGGAGAACATGCAAACTCCACGCAGAAAGACTCCGGGACGCGAACCGGCAACCTTCTTGCTGCGAGGCAACAGTGCTACCAACTGCGCCACCCTGCAGCCCACAAGTGATGATAATTATCATAATTTTTTTTCAAGTAATTCTAAGATCTGATCTCGAATAATGAGATCTTTTTGGGTAACTATGAAACTGTGAGTCATGTTTTCCTTCAAAAATGATTACTTCTTGAGCATTTTTCTTTATCCGGTAGATACAGTGGAGAGAGACAGCGAATATGAGTGAAGAGAGTTGGTGAATGACATGCAGAAAATTTGACAAATCCAAACTTTTACCAACGACAGGAGCGCTGTTTGTTGAATTGACTCGCCGTGAAAACAGAAGAAATGCACCGAGCAGGGAATTGCGAGTACTCAGAAACACCGACAAGCAAACAGTGTCACAGCAGTAGATTTGGAGTGTGACAGACAGTTCAGACGGATTTGTAGGAGAATAGTTGAGAGAGAGCCGAAGACTGGAGGCAGCTGATGGAGGCAGAGATAAGTAAGGAAGATGGATCCCTCCGCCCTGCACAGAGATAACATTACTGCATGTGATACACTGTATTGTACTCACAATGAGATTTATGACTCTGCAGGTCGGTGTCAAGATGATACCGCCACTGATAAGCCTTGTTCCTGGTGTAATGATCGTGTTGCTATTTAAAATGCTGTCAGTACATCCACTGAGGCCTGTAGAACTGAAGGAGTATGATGTTACAGAGAGCCGAGTTTAAAGACACAGGTCGGAGACAAACATTTGCTATTTTAGAATCATTACTAATAGAATCACTTCTGTAAATTCACTCAATGTCTCTTTATCACACGGTGACATAAGTGGAATGACGAGGTAAAGGCTGGGGCAAATCAGGTGTCCCTTGATCTGAATGAGCCTCAAATACCACAGGCATTCTGTCTGCATAATCCGATTAAAAATTTGCTTGACTGAAGTACATTCAAAATCTGCTTTAAGTCCTGAATTGTTTTAGTTATGTAGTATTGTGGTAATTTGTCACAAGCCTGTGATGCTGAAGAATTCATTGTCATGGTTGATTTAGAGCAACTTTTTTAAATTAGACGTGTATATTCAAGTGACTTTGATGAAATATCACAATTGTAGGCTTTCTGACAGAACGTGTTACATATGAGTAGTTTAAAGACCGTCAGAAAGTTGAAAACACGACAGTTCTTTCTGTTTTCACAGTTGCTGACTCTGATAAATGGTGTCACTTTGGCATTGTTTTTCAAACCCACTGGCCTATCTTTGGTTCAGAGTTAAGTAAGTCAGTGTGGCTCGACAACCAGTGAATTGTCCCCTACAAAACCACAACTTACCATTTTTACTCTGCACTTCAGAGATGGTGTGTTAATTCGTGAGCTTTGGATGTGCAAGAGGGCAGATTTTATTCCCTTTAGGCAGAGGCAGGCTAGCTGTCTTCCATTATTTCAGTCTTTACACTAAGCTAAGCTAACAGGCTAATTGTCCTCTGGCCAATTAGCTAAGCTAAGCTACACTAATTGTCCCCTGGCTAATTAGCTTAGCTTAAAGCTCAAATTTCACATCTGTTTTCAGCTCTCATCTAGCGCTTAGCAAAAAGTAGATAGCATATTACCAAAATGTCTCAAGACAAAATCTTAACACTCAGGAATGTTTAAACATCATGTATTAAAGCACATAAGCGGTAGAGGTGCTGCCATAGCTCACCTGCTTGAGCTGCCATCCCATATATAGGAGCTACAGTCCCTGAGGTGGAGGTCATGAGTTCAAATCCCGCTCATGGCCCTTTTCCACAGGTCCTTCCCCCATTCTTCTCCCCAACTTTCCTGTCTCTCTCTCACTGCACTATCAAATAAAGGCAAAAACCCCAAAAAGTATGTAAGAGGTTGACTTCACGCTAAAAATTTTACTCTTCAGCCTTATGCAAATCAGCCAGGAGAATGTGATATTCTCCTACAGTGTTCCTAATAGACACTCAGGTGAGTTACCATGAACTGATGACAAGTGAGAATGTGAAACGGACCGCTAAACCTCATGAATTATTAAATACTCCAACACAAAACGTCTGCATATGTTGTCACACATCCTGGTTTATTTCTTTAAACACAGCAGTGATAATGCCAACTTAAATTTCTTTCCTGACACTGAGGAAATTTAGTTTTTTGGACATTATAGTCAGTGGTGGGTGCAGCAGCAGATCCAGGTATTGCAGTGCTGCTTTCTCGCTCAGTGCTGCGTTTGTTGAAGTGTGACAGTAATGACGCTCCTGCCTGTGTTTGTGCTGCAGATCGTGATCGTGCAGTGGGGAGGGAAGCCCTTCAGCTGTGCCCCTCTCAACGTGGAGCAGTGGCTCTGGTGTCTGTTCGTGGGAGTTGGAGAGCTGCTCTGGGGGCAGGTAAGCAGCTCTTCAGCCTGCTGAGTCAAACCATGTTGAGCAAGTGTAGGCTGGCAAGGCCGGCTTCCCCTGAGGCGAGGCTAAGGAAACATTTTCACACAGGCTTAGATAACGCCGTGTTCTGAATCTGACAGGTGAAATAATCAGGTTTTTATCTGAATAAGAATGGCTGGAGAAGCTCCCAGCTGCTCAGTGAAGCGCCATACTGGCATTATCTGGTCAAATGACGTTGTGACAAACATGACTCGTAGGTCATCGCGACGGTGCCGACAGAGCGGCTGCCATGTCTGAAGGAGGCGGGTCTGGGCCTGGAGCCCGGCGAGGAGGAAGGAGAGGAGCTGGCGGAGGACGAGGAGGAGATTGACTGTGCCGAGAGAGAGCTACGCCGGGGACAGATCCTGTGGTTCAGAGGCCTCAACCGTATCCAGACCCAGGTACACTGGACCTCTAAGACCAACCGTAACCAAAACTCTCTCACAGGGACACACACAGATATCCAGCAACCTGAAGCTTCACTTGGTCATGGCTTACAAGCACTTTGTTTAGGGTGAACTCCAGAACTACAATATTATACATCCTAAAGAGCACAAGGACGTGGATGCTTAATATTTGCACTGTTTAACCAAGTGCTTCATGATAAAATGCAAATTATTAAAGGGGTTATAACTGGTTAAATGTGTTCTAACGCTGGCTAAACAAACTGCTTGTATCCTGGCCATTACATGCTACCTGAAGAGACTTTTGGAAATGAAGAAGAAACTCCTTCACTGCATTGTTGACCTGTCTTTGACAATTTTAGATAAGTTTAAATGCTGTATTTGATTTGTTCTTCAAAAGTCAGTCTCTCTCATCCTGTCTGTGCTGCTTTCCTCAACTGTGCCAAACATAATGAATCAAGTTTTATTTTCTTCTCTCTCTCCAACACAGCTAACTTTTTTTGGGTTCTGCTCACGAAATGGCTTTCTCTGACTTGGAAGTGGTATTTTAGATGCTCATAAACACCGTGAGGGAAGATAAATGCTGTGTGTGTCTGTTGCACTTGTGTGTGAGAGTGTTTACACGCTGTGAACAGGCTAATGCTAAGTAGACAGGCTGTTGACTTGCTTGATTACTTGAATTGACTGCTTCTCGCTCTGTGAGAGGACGGACATTAAGACAGCAAAACAGCATCAACATGAGCAACAGTCCGCTAACAGCCTCCTAAGGAGTGTTAGAGAGCCAGGCCAGACTCTCTGCTTAAGTGCCTGTCTTTGCATAAAGTGGTCAGTTTTTCATTAAGAGGGTTTTGGTCTGAGTGTGCAGACAGCAAACACACTTGCAGGCACGCACACACACACACACATGCATGCTCACACAATCTCATGTACACTTTGTTAGTAATACTCATTAAGCAGCTGCGATGCACATTCGCAATCACAGGACAATAAAATACTGTTTGTTTCATTTCTTCTGTACAGGAGAATGTTTTAAAGGGACCAAACACACACAAACACCCACTCACGCTAACACACAGGCACACTCGTACACACACACACACACATGCACAATCCTTTACACACTTCATCAGTAATATGTATTATGTAGCTGTAATGCACATTTTCAATCACAGGACATCAAAATGTTGTTTCTTTTGTGACAGGAGAATGTTTTTAAAGGAGCAAATACGCACACAAACTCATGCACACTTTGTCAGTAACACTGATTAAATAGTTCTTATGTACACACACATGCACACACATAGACATCTGCAATCACAGGACATGGAAATACAGTTTGTTTTAAAGGGACCAAACACACACACACACATCTACACACATGCACGCACATAGACAAGCTCATGCACACTTTGTCAGTTGTACTTATTAAGCAGCTGTGATGCACATTAGCGATCAATGGACAGTGAAATGCTGTTTCTTGTATTTCATCTGTGACAGAAGAATGGTTTAGGGGACCAAACACAAAGACACACACTCATGCATACACACACACACGCTCACAGACTCATGCACACTTTGTCAGTGATTGTCCTTAAACAACTGTGATGCACATTTGCGATCAAAAGACGGTGAAATGCTTTTTCTTTTGTTTCATCTGTGGCAGAAGAATGATTTAACGGGACCAGACAAAGACACACACACACACAATCACACACACACACACTCTCATGCATACTTAATCAGTGATGCTGACGTCCTATGTGACAGAAGAATGTTTATAATGAACCAACCACACAGACCAACACACCAATGCTCAAACACACATACATTTCTACATTATGAAGAGAGGCCCATCAAGCTAAACCTACCAACAGAGTTCAAGTGTTTTTGGGTTATTTTGAGGAAACAAATCATCTCTTTAAATGTGTTCTTTCATAATATAAATGCAAATGATTTTTCTTTCTTTTTTTTAGTTATTAAGAAAAAAACAAGATTTGACTGATTTCTACCTATCAGTACTCAATAAGCAGTTGTGATGCACATTTTCAAATCTTTTTTTTTTCATTTCTTTTGTGACAGGAGAATATTTTAAAGGGACTGAACACACTCATGCACACACACACACACACACACACACACACACACACACATGCTCAATCTCATGTACACTGTGTCAGTAATACTCATTAAGGACACTGACACGCCGTTTCTTTCATTTCATCTGTGACAGAAGAATGGTTTAGGGGAAAGAAACACACTGAAACACACTCATGCACACACACAGACACTCGCGCACTCTTATGCACACTTTGTCAGTGACATTCATTAGGCAGCTGAGATGTACATTTGCAATCAAAAGATGCGAAAAGATGCAGATTTTTTTCGTTTCTCCTGTGACTGGAGAATGTTTTAAAGAGACCAGACGCACTCTGCACCAACACACACACACACACACACACACACACACACACACACTGATGCAAACTGAAACACATGCACACACACATTTTTATGCATACTGTCAATGACTCTCATCGAGCAGTTGAGATGCAAATTTGCAACTTAAATGCTGTTTCTTGTCATTTCTTCTGTCAAGACAGTGTTTTTAAGGGACCGAACACACACACACACACACACACACACACACACACACACACACACACACACACATAATCTCATGCACAGTTTGTCTGTAATTCTCATTAAGCAGCACATTTTCAATCAAAGGCCACTAAAATACAGTCGCTTTTATTCTGTGATGCAAGGTTGTTTTAAAGAGACCAAACGCACTCTGTACAAACACACACACACCAACACACACTCATGCTCACACGCACACTTAAACTCACATTTGCACACACAGTCTCATGCACACTTAACCAGTTATGATGCACATGTGCGACCACAGGACACTAGAATGTTGTTTCTTTCATTTCCTCTACGACAGCAGAATGTTTTAAAGGGACCAAACGCACACTGATGCAAACACCCGCTCATGCACACACTCATGCACGCACACACTCAGACCAGACCTGCCTGCCCTCACTGAGTGCTGCTGTTTTGTCTCTGTCCTGCAGATGGAGGTAGTGAGCACGTTCAAGCGAAGCGGTTCGTTTCAGGGAGCGGTGAGACGGCGCTCCTCTGTGCTCAGTCAGCTCCACGACGTAAACACTATCTCTACCCCCTCTCACGTAGCTCTCTCCACCGCAACAGCCAATACCAGCCCAGCCCCCGGGAGTGAGTCCGCCGAACGCATGTACACACGTATACACACACACCATATACCTGTACACACACACACACACACACACACACACAAACACGTGCAGCCACCCTTTCTCAGACACACTCATTCATAGACACACACTGCTGCACGGCACGTGGACTGCAGTATTTTGACTCTCTATGGTTGTGTCCCCTCCGGCTCGCTCGCTGCTCGTGTGTGTGCAATGTCTCCTCTATTCTTTTCTCTTACTCTCCCTTTTAAAACAGCACCCAGTCCTGACCGGCTGTGTAGTTCTGGTCTGATCCGGTCTGGTTCAAAAAAAAAATCCCCAGTCCTGGTCCCAGGCCAGAGTCTGTTTCGTTGTTGAGTGTTGGTCAGTGTGGGAGGCGGCCGGCTGTTCTCTCTCTGTCTGAGGTGCACTCGCAGATAAGGAAGAGCAAAATAACAAAAAGTTGATAATTTCATATTCCTGCGACTAAGCCAGGATGCACCTTACAGCTCAGAGAGCAAATGGCGGCTCCTCCTGCACCATGTGTTATTATCTGTCTGTGAATGAGGTCAAGCGTGGTTACTGTGGTCAGCTCCTGCTGTAGAACTAATGTAAAGTGTTATTTCTTTTCTCTAAAAAAATCAAGAGAATATAGTGATGATGTAAAAACAAATGTGACTCCTATTATACTGTAGAAAATGCTCAAATATGAATATATTTCACTGCCATAGAATTCATACTCATTACCAAGTGGCTTTCATATGGCTTCTGCAAATCTCTAAACTGTAAACCTTCGAGTATAAAAGCCCCATCACACACTGCTGTTTCCAAGTTTTAAAAAAAACTCTTCCCTCTTCCTCTATCACTCTTGCTTTCCTTCTTCTCCTCCTCTCATTTTTGTTCGGTGCTGCAATTGTTGTCAACTGGTTATTTCTGTAACAGTATTTCCAGCTCCGACGTCACAAGTTTGGCCCCCCTGATGTCTCCAAAAGATTTCACTTCCTGTCCAGCCTGTTTTTTCCTTCCCTCTTTTTCTCTCTCTCTCTCTCCATCGCAGTTCTTTCTCCTCTTTCTTCAATATTTAAGAGACATTACAGGTTCCCTGTGTGCAGAAATATTCTGGAAATGTGTTTTAATTGTTCTTCATAAGTAGAGTTGTTCTTTTGTAGAGGTATCTAGATTTTACCACATCTAAATACAGGCTCTTTTGTAGTTGTTAAGCTTTCTTTAGTAGGTTTATCTCTTTATTTATGATTCTTTTTTTGATCTTTGTTTTTTTTACCTCATCCCTTTTCGTCATCCTCCCATCTCCTAGTAGAGTAGCGAACCACCTCATGTTTTCTCTTGATTTTTTTGTATGTCAGTTCTGCGTGCGTCTGTTTGAAAGCGTGCTCACATGTGTGTGCATTTTCTGACATATACGAGAGCCGTAGTTTGTTTGACTCGTGTGCGTTTTTTGTTGTTGTTTTTTTTTTTTTTAATCTCAGTCGGTGTGCGAATGTGTGCACTTGTGTCTGAGTGCGTGCATGCATACGTGCGGTTGTACTGTCTCTTCATTTGATTGTCTCCATCTGTCTTCTCAGTTGCTTTTCCGTACCTTTTCTTGCTCCCTTCCCCCTCCTTCCATTCCACGCTGACTCCCTCCCCATGTTGCTCCATCCCCTGTAGGTGTAGATACAGAGAGGCCTCAGTCGGCGCCGCTGACACCTCATTTGTCGCAATCATCCTGCTCTAGGAGTTATCAGGGCTTTGTTTAAACTACTTTGGAAACACATCCTTCGC